CTTCACAACGGGCGACAGCACTGTGCCTGCCTCCCTGACAGGGCTGAGGACACGGGCCTGCTCACCCCTGTAAGCCACAGAAACAGAAGCCGCTAATGAGCTGACAGGGACTGCCAACACAGCCAACCAAGCCACAGCTAACCACCGTGGTGGGGCTGCAGCACGTACCTCCTCGCACAGTGTTTCCCCAGCTGCTTCTGTGGACAGCAGGAATATGCCAGAATCTTGAACACGTCTGTAAAAGCACTGCCGTCGGGAGGCTTGGTGATGAAAAAGCTCTGGCCACAGAGGAAGACCACGAAAGCCACACCGATGCACACGGTGGGGATAACGTAGCCGGTGAAGAAGCTCACGTTCTGCTGAATGTATGCGATGCCGCCCAGGGACACAATAGCCCCCAAGTTAATGCTCCAGTAAAACCAGTTAAAAAATCTTCTCGTGGCTTCGGGACCTCGATCTTTAACCTACAACAACAGGAAGCGATGAAAAAGAAGATGTGAAAACGTGTGACAGTCTTCAAAGGCAAAGAAAAAGCCCAAGCACGTGGAAATGAGGCGCCGAAGGGAAGGCTGCCCTCACCGCCCGAGAGCGACGCAGCAGCACCGGCCGGCGCCTGGACCATCCCGGGGCCTCTGACAGGAACACCGCACGGGACAGGGCTGCAGATCCCAGGCAGCGGCCTCCTCCACTGTCCTCAATTCTCACCAGGGCTCAGGTCACCCCAGTGGACCCCCTGCTGGGAAGCCGCTCTTCCATCCCAGATGGACTGAGTCGGAGCCCACGTGGTAACAGATGCCCAGGGGATTCTTATGGATCCCAGGCTGAGTCTGATCCACAACAAGCACCTGGAGATCTTGTGAAGACGCAGATTGTGAATCTCTAGAGCTGGGATGGAAACATCAATCAACTCCCAGCCTTTCGTCAAACCTCAGCGGGCCAGGTGGAAGCCCTGTTGTTGTTGTGCTGTTACGGCCCGTCGAGTCGGACCTGACTCACAGAGACCCCTCCTTGGGTTTCTGAGGCGGTATCACTATGGAAGCAGATTGCCCAACCTTCCTTCCGAGCAGTGGCTGGTGGGTTTGAACCGCCAGCCTTCTGGTTAGCAGTCAGGTGCCTTAGGCTCTATGCTACCAGAGCTCCTAATGGAAGCCCTGGGTACTGCCAATCCTCGAGTTCCTCACAACAGCATCTGCAGACCACCTGCTCTGGAATCACGTGGATTATGTATTAAAAATACAGACTCACAGGTCCCACCTCCCAAACTAAACGGGGGGACAAAAACAAAAAAACCAAACGCACTGCCGACCCGACGCATAGTGACCCCTCCTTGGGTATCCGAAGTGGTGTCACTATGGAAGTAGACTGCCCAACCTTCCTTCTGAGGAGTGGCTCGTGGGTTTGAACCACCAGCCTTCAGGTCAGCAGTGAAGTGCCTTAGGCACTACACCACCAGAGCTCCCCCTCTCAAGCTACACAATCATAATCTCTGGGGTTAGGCCCAGGAATCTGCATTTCAAACAAATGTTCAAATCCCAGGTGCCTTCTATTCACAGGTAAATTATTTTAGAACCATGCCCAGACAGCTCTGAGGACTGAGCCACAGGCCTGTACCGGGAGGTGGTCAGGAAACACGGTTAGACCTCAAGAGAAAGACTGCAGGGAACACCTATAGTTCGGAGAGCTGAGGGCACCCCACTGTGTCTGGTCAACTGAACGGATGGTGTTACACCTGGAGCCAAGAGGAAATGCCAGCCTGCAGCCATGTGCTATTAGACTGGAGATTACTAAGTCAACCCACGGAATCAAGAGAACTCTGCTAAGGAGAGAGTTTTGAAATTTCTTCAGCTTACGGAGATGTGTGCATCGAGGTGGTTACACCCTCCCCAGGCGCACTGAGCGCTCCAAACCCCTGCATTTCACACCGAAGTGCAGCCTGCAAGCAAGAGCTGTTGTAACAGTCATCTGCAAGGAGCTCGATTCCTTGGGAACATGCCACAAGCTCACGTGTAAATGGCTGCCGCTGGATCTCAACCAGACTGTGCAGACTCGCTAACAGCTTCTGCGGCCTCCTCCTCCACTTCCAGGTCACCAAGAGGAGACACCTCGGGTCACGCAGCAGACCTGGCTCCTGACCCACAGAGCGATCGCCTCCCTTCACTAACAAGGCCGTTTGCAACAGGGGCCAAAACAACCAGTTCCCATACACAAGGAGCTTCTTTTGAGTAGCCACATTACCTGGTATGGTTGAAAACCCTATTTTTTAAGATTAATGTACAAGTGTTAAACATACAGTCAAAATTGTGTGCTACTCCAATTTTTTTTAAATCTAAACTGATTAAGCACGGCTGCTGCATTGCTTGAATTAATTATACAGTGCCCACCACTTCAAATAGGAAAGTCGAGTTTTCCATCCACCACAGGTTCTCAAAAGGAGCCCTGTTCCTGACAGCACCAGTGAGAGGCCCCAGGTCACACGCAGTCTAATCCCTGAACACAGGA